AAGTATGAGATTTATTTTGGGGCAAAGGAATGCCAATTAATAAATAACAAAAATTACTCTAGGGTACCCTTAATTTTCTTATAATGACTCTTAGGTCCTACAATATTTAAAATATACTTTGGGGTATTTTCAATTTTCTCGTAACAACTCTAAGGTCCCACACTATCCAAAATACACTCTGCATTTGTGATATTATATTTCGAGGGTAGATTCCGTTCATTTAGTTATTAGGATTGAAAGTTTTTTATTTTGAGAAGCTGAAGGATTTTATATAAATATAATAAAATAATGATTATGAAGGTAAAATTTAGTACTCCCTCTGTCCCAAATTAAATTGATTGTTTACTATTCACATGGTCAAACTTCATTCACCTTGTTTCTCTATTTTTGTTAGATATTTGATTAAATAAAATAATCATGTCACCACTTGTTTTGCGGATCTTTTATGTACTCCGTAGTATTTTAATATGTGGCTTTTATTTTTAAATTTTACACTATTTATCATATAAAATGATTTGAAAATAATTTTAGTCAAATATCATAAATCAAAACAGGTATATAAATTGGGACGGAGGAAGGTATTTGTCAAAGTACCAAAACTTTTAATCTTAAAGGTCAAATAGACGGAATGTACCCAATGAGTACATTACCACTAATTTTAAGGACCCCCGTTGTATATTTCAAATAATATGGGACCTGGTTGTTCTTATCAAAAAATCAAGGATATCCGAAGTATATTTCAGATAATGTAGGACTTCGAAGTCATTACCCAAAAACCGATGGTGCCCAGAGTAATTTTCCGAATAAATAGTCTACTTCGTATTCTTTAAGAAAAAAGATGGAAGGCCCACCCCGGGCGTCCCCACACCCCGATCGCACATGCTTGTGAGGGTGGTATATCAATCATGGTATATAATTTCAATCTGGTCTTTAGATAGATCGTCCAATGCCCGGTAGAAATAATGTATGGAAGTAAAAACCACGAGTAAAGTTTAAAAGAAGTAAAGCATTAGTCTAAAATCACATCAATTGATATAAATGGCATTTGTTATGTTTCTTAAATTAGAGCAAATGGTGGGATTAATTAGAGCAGCTTATTTTGTCGCTTCCATGTTTCCATGAGTCAACGAGGCGTCAAGAAAATCGACACAAAACCTCATCGTGCCATCATAATACCTTCATTGAAAAAAGGCAAGGCACCGAGCGTCTATGAAGTAAAACTTGAGTTCGATTTCTTACAACTATGTTCGAAGATAACTATGTTAATTGGCATATGACCTCTGCAAATACCAAATTCAGACTCCACTATTTAACAGCGATCTGCTCAAAGACCAATTTGCATTCTCTCAATGAACATCTGGCCGAGTCTGAGGGATCCTCGGAGATGGGGCTCATCCTTTTTTTTCATTGAAAAAATTTGTTAAAAAAACTTTGTTCGTATATATACCCCTTCTCACCTCATTTAATTCTAATCTGATTTTACAAATTTAAAATCAATGCATTATATAATGAAAAATATAAGGTAAAATAAGAGTTTATTTAGAATAAAGAGTATGCTTATGAGTTATTTTTTCTTTTTTTGTAATATAAAAGTACTGTTTCAATTATAAATTTTAGTTTGAGATAAATAAAGAGAGAGTAATAAATTTAATTTTTTTTTGAACAAAGTAATAAATTTAATTTAATTGAGAAGAAAGGGAATCATGATCATCATACATTCATGTTCGAGTTAGGATTTCCAATCCATTCCCATAATGATAATACAACCACAACCTTAAATTGTCAAAGGTATATATGGTAGGTAGAACTCGTAGGCCACCCCCCCCCCCCCATTTCCTTGGCCTACACATATTCCCTACCATCTCCATATAATTAAATAAACTTGTCAATTTGTTAGTTTTTACAAAATTTTAGAAAAAAAATCGACCAGTAAAAAATATACCAAAAAAATTAAAAAATAATACTTGAAGTTCATTTGGAAAAGGGAGATCTAAATAATACTTAAAAATATCGTTAACATTGATTTTTAATTCGACGAGATAAAATAATTAAGACATCTACTATGCTTGGTTAGGCGAGAAAGTGATTCATACCTCCCAAACCATCCCCAAACTCCTCGAGATCCCCCCACCCTAGTCTCCCTACCCTCCGCCCTCTCCATTTGCTGATTTGCTACAATTTCACGTTGTCAAATCGTCAAATAGAAATGAGAAATATTACCTCCGTGCCAATATATTCATTCAGTTTGACTTTTTCAAGTCAAGTTAGACAGACTTTGTTTCTCAATTAGATAAAGCTATAATATATATTAGTAAAAATGATTTAATAAGATTTATCAAGTTGAAGATTTTCAAAATTTTATTTCATTTTATTAATGTGCAATACAAATTGTGAATAATTAAAAAGTTTCTTCCATTTTTGACTCAAAAAACATGAACCATATGTGTCCACCTGGTACTGCATATATATATGTTGTCATAAACATATGCGTGTGTGGCTGGCATGGCATGGCATGGCTTCACCTAGGAGTGAAAAGTATCGAGGAATTGAATTTAGCATGTCTCAAGAGTCAATGAGTTTGAAAGATTGTGTTGGTAACGTTGGAGAATGTAGTGCATGTGCCTTCACAAAAAAAAAAAACCTGGTTAGTCTAGTAGAGCATTTCTTGGATAACCTCAAGTGAGGCCTCAAACCTCACATTCACTCATATGTGAGGGTGGGTAGATTACATTGTGTTACATTGTGTTACATTGTGTTACAAATAGGAACGAAAAGAGTTCAAAAGGATTGGTAGTACTACTCGTACCAACAAGGTGCATCTTCCTTTCAAGAGCTTGTCACTTAAAAACTTTAAAGTTTAGCGTGTTTGACTTAGAGCAAGATTGGTGATCGATCCTATGGGAAGTTTCTAGAGTGCGCACGAGTGAGGACAAAGTACGCAGGAAAGACTTATGTTGGTTTGTGGGGTCAGTCTACAATCCTATGAGCAGAGACTTAACTAAGACCAAGGGGGCGGGCAAGGTGTTACAAATGCTATCAGAGCAATCTTGCGATGGTGACGGACCAGTGAGCTTAGTTCACCTAGCAGGGAAGATCTAGGGGTTTGAGAAAAAAAAGATGCAACAAGGACGTCACATTTCTAAGTGGGGGTTAATGTAATACACGTGTTACACATGGGAATGAAAAGATCAGAGTTCAAAATGATTGATAGTACTATTCATACCAACAAAGTGCATCTTCTTTTCGAGAGCTCATTACTTAAAAACTTCAAAGTTAGGCGTTCTTGGATAGTTTCCTGCAGCTGGGCACTCACGAGTGAGGATAAAGTGCACTTGAAAGACTTATATCGTTTGTGGGGTCAATCTACAATCTCATGAGCGGAGACTAGTGTATTCATCCAACTCGAAATAGATAAATAATACGGAGTAACTAATAAATAAATAAGTATCCAGCTCCATCCATAACAAATATAACTAATGTGCAACTAAGAACTAACGAGAAGCTGGGACTAAGGTCAAGATTAACCCAATATTTCATGACTCACAACTTAAATTTTTCAAAGAGGTTGTTATATCAAGGAGAAGTCAGAAGAGAGCTTTGAGGACAAAGCTTTAGCTAAGGGGAAGGAATGATGCATGCCTTAGCTAAATATCTTCATTTTCTACTCTTGAGTCTTGAGTGTGTCTTGTTATTGTCCTACATAAGGCCTCACTCCTCTCTTCTACATCCTCCCACACCAACGACAAAGATCTTTTGACGTCGAGTTTTAATGTCATATTATGACATCAATTCATTTAGGATACGTACCTACGTTACTCTGATCAAAAAATTAATGATTTCAATCCTCTCTAACCCCCGATAAGCCCCCAAGCCTGGCTTGACCCTCGCATCTTCGTCAAATGTTCATACCCTCAAGCTTTGTTGATTTTGGGATCAAAATAAGAATAATATGAAAAATACACCTAAATATTTTTTTAAAGTGATTGTTGGAAGAAATTGTAATAGATTGGAAGAAACTTGAAAAAATTAGAAAAAAACTAGAAAGAGTTTGAATAAACTAGAAAAAATTGAAAAAACTAAAAGCTAAATTATTACAATTCTAAAGAACATGTTCTAAATAGATGGAGCACCATAATCTTTCCACTCACACCGAGTCCTACATCCTCCTTCTACCCCATATTAACCTTCTGAGAATCTCAGCTACTAATTCGACATTTCGATAACTTATGTTTGTATGTATACTTTCATTGATCATTTAATAAAAATATTCTCTTTACTTCTTAATTTGTAATTTTTTAATGTAGTTTTAAACAATATAATTTGTACTTTTTATATCTATACCAATTTATGAATACAATTTTTATACTCGTAAAAGAGAAACATTTTACGTATTCTTTCAAATGGAAGAAATAAACTGAAACACATGAAGTATTATTCATTTTACATTGTTTTTTTTCTTCAAAACCTCAATTAATTTCTAAATTTCAGTACCAAAGTACATAGAGTATAATTTTCAACCAACTGAAAAAGATAATTAAATAAAGGAAAGTTGTGGAATGTGAGCATTACTTTAGCAGTACACAATTGACAATACATCTCCACATCCAAAGCCCAATTCATATGATGATGAGAATGATACACCTATTTCTGCTGCTAAAATAACAACAATAATTCTTCCTTTACCTTTATTTTGCATATACTTTGGCCTCTTTTTAACTTAGACCAAATGACAGGAAATTTTGTGCAATAAAATGTAAGGAAATAAAAAAGAAGAAAGCCTTGGAGATATATTACTACATAATAGATCTCCCCAATCTTGCACTTTTGCTGACCATTTGGGCATTGGGCAGCTTTCTAGGTCCTCATATAGGCTAGGAAACATACCTGCCCGTTGCCCGTTTTCTTTGGTTTTGGATGAACAAAAGCAATTGAGAGAGAGAGAGGGATTTGTGCTCACTTTATTCTGTTTTATTATATACTTTGCTGTTACTAAGAATTGAAAGAAGAGAAAGCTCCCCTCTTCAGCCCCCACCTTCTCTCTATTTTTAGACTGCACTGTCTAGTGGTTTGCCTTAAGTGTCATATTTTTCTCATTTCTTGGTCCATTGTGTTTCTTTAGCCTTTGTTTGCCTGTGCGATGCAAACTGTCTATTTATTGATTTCATCAATAAAGAATGTTAGGGAGGTGTGATTGTTGGAGGAGGAGAAAAGGGTATTTTGGTCTTTGTGTTTGGGAGATGCCCAGAGATTGGAAGCACTTGTAAGCACAATCAGTGACTTGATTCCTTCCCATTCACAAGAACTCAAGAAAATTGATAAAGCAGCGATCTTTGGGAAAGATTTGAGGGGGTCGGATTGTAGAAACCAGAGAAGTACATGAAGGAGCAGTGGAACAATGAGAGATGACAATTTCAAGAAAAGCAAGGTTTTTTTTATTTAAATTTTTCAATTGGTTTTTGAAATTCATTACCCATCTTGGGAAATTTCTGTTTGATCATTGATTTTCTTGGGAAATGCTGCTGTCACTCTTGTTTTTTTCTTTCTGGGATTCAATTTCTGCAATTTTGTTTTGTGCTGACTTTATTGTGTTCCCACTGATTGGTGAAGCTTTCTTGGTCAAAGAAATTGGTGAGGAAGTGGTTCAACATCAAGGGAAAGAGTGAGGAATTGCAGGCTGATGAATTTGCTAATGGAGGAGGTGTGCTTCTGATCTGCTTGGATTTTCTTTCATTATCACAAAGTCTAGGGTATGGGGAGGGGTGTGGCTAATGAAGTTGAAGAATCTGTTATTTTGTCTTTTACAATTCACCTCATGAGGCAGATATATTGACACACAACATTATTTTGTCTCCAGATATTAAAAATGGAAGAAAAAATATGAACTTAAAGTATATAAAATTGAAATTGATAGTGACTGTCATTTGCTCATTTGTCAAGTTCTTAAGATGTGTCAAAAGACCAGTTTTTTTTTAAAAAAAATTAATAATGGTTTCTTGATGGTTTTGTTAAATCCCTTATTGATTGATTATGAAATGGAAGTGTGGAATAACAGTTTTGTTTTTCTGCTGCAGGTTGTGATGAGTGGAGAAATAGCTTTCCTGAGAGGGAGCCATGGAATTTCAAGAAGAGTAGAATTGGTAAAGTATTATTCTTTTGTTGGAAAAAAATTGCGAAAAAAATAATAATTACAGTAAATAAATTTGAAATTAACAATCAAGTCTCACCCTCCTCTTGAATATGCAGAGAAATCAAACCGCAGTATGGAGAGGCCTCGACAGAAGAGAGATGATGTCGATCATCATCCTCAGGTCATAAATGTCCAGAATTACAGGTTTGTTCTTGGACACTCCAGTTCTCCATCCAAGAACTTGGTTTCTTGGATATATTCCTTGTCACTATTCTTTAAAAAGATTGCTAATTTTTTTTTCCATTTTCAATTCCAGTGTGTTCGTGGCTACGTGGAACGTGGGAGGCAAAGCTCCTTCAAGTAACCTGGTTCTTGATGATTGGCTTCATTCTGCACCACCTGCAGATATTTATGTTCTTGGGTATATGACCTTATAACATCTTTTCCCTTCATCTTTCCCTTTCTTACAAACAAATTTGATATCTCAAACATTGTTGTTCTATGCTTTGTGTACCCATTCAGATTTCAAGAAATAGTCCCACTGAATGCGGGTAACATTTTGGGGGCAGAAGACAACGGGCCTGCGAAAAAGTGGCTATCTTTGATACAGAAGACTCTTAACAACAGCCAAGGGAGTAGTGGGTACTACACCCCATCTCCAGGCCCCAACCCAATCCCAGAGTGGAATGCTGATTTTGAAGGGTCCTCCAAACAGAAAGCTTCGTCCTTGTTTCCGCGGCGTTCATTCCAAACCCCACAATGTTGGAGAACAGAAAATGACCCTTCTATCCCTCTGCCCCGCCTGGACCGACGCTACAGTGTTTGTGACCGGGTCATTTTCGGTCACAGGCCGAGTGACTCTTCCTCGTCTAGTCAAAGACCGAGTGACTATTCTTCGGGCCATAGGCCCAGCGACTACTCTTCTGCTCATAGGCAGAGTGACTATTCGTGGGGGCAGAGGCCCAGTGACTTCTCGAGATGGGCTTCATCGGATGACGATTTTGGGCCCGGAGATTCACCCAGCACCGTGCTGTTTTCACCTTCAGCTGGGGGTGCTGCACCAATGGAAGAAGGGTACAAAATGCCAAGGAGTAACACAAGGTACTGTTTGGTTGCAAGTAAACAAATGGTTGGGATTTTTCTCACGGTTTGGGTTCGTAGCGAGCTCAGAGAACACGTTCGGAACATGAAAGTTTCGTGTGTTGGCAGAGGATTGATGGGCTACCTTGGAAATAAGGTACCACAACATAGCAAAACCAAAAAACACCATTGTTGTAGTGTTTCAATGATCATATTAGTAGCTAAGATAATGACCATATTCTTCTTTTAGGGATCAATATCAGTCAGCATGTCATTGCACCAGACAAGCTTTTGCTTTGTGTGCACACACTTGACATCCGGTCAGAAAGAAGGCGATGAACTGCGCAGAAATTCTGATGTCATGGAAATCCTAAAGAAAACAAGGTTCCCACCTGTTAATGGCGCGAGTAGTGATGAGAAATCCCCAGAAACCATACTAGAACACGAGTAAGACTTTCTGTAAAACTATTGCCAACTTGATCCTAATTAGTGGGTAATTATTAATCTACTTTACTAATCTGTTCTTTTCTCGTATTCATTTAGCCGAATCATTTGGTTGGGTGATCTGAACTACCGAATTGCACTCTCTTTTCGATCTGCTAAAGCACTCGTTGAGATGCAGAATTGGAGAGCTTTGCTAGAGAAAGATCAGGTAACTAATTTTATTGCTTTATTATGTTTATAAATGTCATTAAATTATTTGTTACACTTTTGTAACATATACCATTTGTCTATTTGTCCTATTGTAGCTCCGTATAGAACAAACGCGAGGTCGTGTCTTTGCAGGGTGGAAAGAAGGAAAAATATATTTCCCACCAACTTATAAATATTCGCGCAACTCTGACAGATATGCGGGCGACGACATGCATCCTAAGGAGAAACGCCGAACACCCGCATGGTAAAAGCTTTTCTATAACTGTTTGGTGGTAGCATTAGGACTTGTTTGGCTGAAAATAATAGTGCTGAGTAATCTATAGGTGTGACCGGATCCTATGGTATGGAGGTGGTCTTCAGCAACTGTCTTATGTCCGTGGAGAATCAAGATTCTCGGATCACCGACCCGTATCCAGTGTGTTCAATGCTGAGGTTGAATCCGTCCCGACCCGTTTAAGGAAAAGCATGAGTTGTTCAAACACAAGGATTGAAGTAGAAGAATTGTTGCCTTACTCACATGGCTATACAGAAATCTGCTTCTTTTGAGGATTTCATAGGAAGGATAGCAAGCAAGAATCAATTTTTTGGTATGTTCTACTTCACATCACTCTAACTTTAATATACAGAAATCCAATTCATATAAAATGGAACATTTATATTTTGTGGATGAATATACAGGTAGGTAACAAGTTTGAAGAAACTCAAAAAGAAAGGTGATTAGGGGGGGACAGTGTTTAGCCCACTAACCAAAAAGAGGTCAGCACTCTTTATTCTTTTCTTGGGAGTGATGCAGATTCCATACACTACTAATTACATATCCTAATCACTTTGTTTTGTTTTGTCTTTTCTTTAATCTCTCTCAGGTGTAGATATACTAAAGATTGATTTTTGATTGATGGCTAACCAAACACAAATAACAACATTTGAAGTAGGAGATTAAGGAGTATAATACCAGCAGCCAGCTTTTTTTTTTCCATCTCCCACTGTGGTTCCCTTTTTTTTTCAAACCTCACTTGGCAGTCATTTTTCCTCTGCTATGTAAGGTAATTGACTTGATAATCTTTGTATTAAAGGGTTGTCAATATGGATTTAATGATTGGTTTTCAATTACAAATATTAAAAAAATGTCATTTTTTTGCAGGATTAACTGATAAGGTTAAAGGGTCTGCCAAGTGGGCAATTGGCAATGATTGAGTTTCAAGATTTTCTTTCTAATTTTTTTTGTGTGTAGGATAATTGAGATTCAAAAAAACATACAGTAGAATGTGAAAGATGATAAAAATAATCATTCTTTCTTTGAGGTTCTTTGTTCCCACTTTAGCTTTCTTGGTTTTTGGTTTTTAATGCTTTGAGAAGTAAAGATCTGGTAATTTGTAACCCTGACAGAGAAAATGTAATGTATTGTATATTTTCTTTTTTTTTTCTCCCCTTTTTTTACACTGTAACTCCTATATTGCCAATGATTTTACTGAAAAGTGGGCTTCTTGATCCCACAGACAAAGTCCCATCAAGATTCTTTACTGCTTTTTCTCTCTTTTTACCTATGAGGTTGAAAAACAATGTGCAAAAGTGTTAACAGTTTACACAAATTTGGCAGTAAAGTGAGTAAAGAGAATTGGGAGAGAAGGCATGGCATGGCATGACATGCTTCAGAGGGTCTTTTTCCTTTTCCTTTACTTTACTGTTCATGTCTCTCTCTCTTCTCTGTTGAATTGTATTTCTTTTGTTTTTGGCCTCAGCCTGACACCTCCATATAGAGATACAGTAGTGTTTGGCATTTGCTGTAGAGTCAAGGTTGAAAAAAATAGTTACTCACTTTAGTCTTGCTCGCGATTACGTATCAGAGACATATCTCACTCTTATTAATGAATACGGAGTATTTCGACCCGTCTAAGAAAGGGCCTAAAAGAGTGAAATTATAATTCAATTTACCTCTTTTCATATAACTGTTTGGCCAATTCTAAAGACCATGTGGATGAAGTTGATACTCCCTCCGTCCCAAATTATTTACAGCGTTTGCTTTTTCAGCAGTCACGGGAACTTTTGTTTATTTCTTCGTTTTCATTGGTTATTTGATAAAATAAAATATTCTTGACAACTCTTATTTCGAAGAACTTTTCATGTAATTTTTTGATATGTAAATTTTATTTTTTATTTCTATATCAATATGTAAATAAAATGAATTGAAAAAACTTGATATTTTGCCTCGGGAATATAAGTGGCAAATATTTAGAGACGGAGGGAGTATATCATTTCTAGAAAGCCTTCTTTGCATAAGCTAAATTTTGCTGGTGGGTGTTGCACGATTCACAATTTTGTAACAAGGGAAGGATCTTTCTTGCTAAAGTAAGAGTCCTCGGAGATGGAGTTTATCCAATTTTGCTAAAGTAAAATTATAGAGTAATTTAATAATTTCCTCTTGGAAGTTATACACCCTTTCGTGGACGTTGCGTAGTTGGCAAGACAAAGGGCATCAAAGGAGTAAGACCTGAGTTTGAATTATAGTAATTGCGCTAGAAGTCAACTATGTTAAACATATGGCATCTGCAAGTACGGGGTGTAGGTTACACTATTTATCACTAGCTTACAATCAGAGTCTAATTTATCTTTTTTATCTTGTAGACAGATCTAAAAGTCTTAGGGGATGGGGTTGATCTTTAAAATATACACTCTTCAACCTAGTGGATTTTCCAGTGTTTGACATTTCCACTCAAATCAACTCAACTTCAACTTAGTGGATTTTCAGTGTTTGACATTTTCACCATTTTCACTCAAATCAATTGAACGTATGCTTGGTGGGGTTTTCAGTGTTTGACATTTCTATTCAAATAAATTGAACTCTTATTACTCCGTAATAATATTAATATTTCTATCATTCACCTCAAAATTAAAAAGACACTAATTTCATAAAATTTATGAAAAATCTTAAAAAATAAGTGGATAATTTAAATTTATTTAAAAAGAAAAATATATTGTAAGTCGTGTGTTTTTTTCCTTAAAGAAATTGATTTTAGTTCTGGAACACCAAAAATAGAAAATGTCAATTTAATCTTTTTTATTCTGGTTATTATATTTGATTGAATTTATATTTAATTCAAATTATTTAATTATTATTATTATAAAATAAAACTAAATATTTTAAAATACATAAAATGTTCTACAAAATACCATAGTATAAAGGTAACATTACTTAATTATTTTATTAAATAATCAATGAACTGTATATATGGTCGTATAAAAGAAAGATTTTATTTGAATTCATAAATAGTACTCCCCGCATTCTAAAAATAACCATCTCTGTATGGATAACAAGGTTTAACAAGTTTATTTTCAATCTAATTGACTTTTGAGAGGTGAAGCTGTTGAAGTTTGACCAAGATGAATCGATGATAATTGAAATGAATAAGGCTCGAGAAATATCAAAATGAGTATGGCGTAGAAAGTAGTTTGGGCAGTAGGTTCGGTTAAATTTAAGTTAAGTAAAGATAATTGTATCCATTTAAGCCATATTAAAATGTTTTATGAGAAATGTAAGATGAGAAATTTGAAACGTTATACGAGATGGAGAAAGTAAAGAATTGCATCAATTTCTTTATAAAACAAAAAGTGATAATACCATGTTATTTTTACAAACAGTTAACAAACATTAGCAAAGAAATAAAGAAATACTTTTGTTGTGTGAAATGTGAATCACGAGATTCAGGTCTATGAAAATTGAACTTGGAATTTCTATTAAATTAAGCTATTTGTATACCAAAATTTGTATCTCAAATTATACACTACAGATGTGTATCTTCATTTTGTGTCATTGTGATGCCATCAGTGTGATGGTTCACGCTAACACAAAATGTTAGTGTAAAAAATATTGTGATTACACTAACATTTTGTGCCAGTATCATCTATTAAAAAGTAATGTATATTTTTGGTGTATAATTTATGGTTGATTTCCCTTCCCCACAAAGGAAGCTAAGCTATTCCAATTGAACATGGAGTTTCACCCTTCAGCCCATTGACTAATTTGAGACTCAAGAAACAGTAGGGTAGGGCGGCCTTATTATAGGCCCAGCCGATACACATAGCTTAGGTGCATCTATTGTCATCAATCTGCAATTAAAGTTTAATTTACTTTATTTCAGTAATTGTTAAACCGATTCTAACCCTAGATTTATCTTTTTTTATAATCCCTTGTTGGCCTCTTCGCAAACATTACTTCACGCCTATGATTAGATATGTGTTGGGTTTTATTTCAGAATCGAGGGTTACCGATTCTTAGTTTGGTGGAACTATAACTGAAGGCGGTTAGAGGAGTTGGTTCTCGTTCCCATTCTATGTACCGACAATTTTCATACATGTGAGTAGCCCTCTTTTTTCATACAATTTAATTTAATCACATTTCATGTAAGTCTATTTTTTATAATAATAATAATAAGTTAATCTAATTTTTATAAGTCTAAATTTTTTAATAATGATAAGTTACTTTTGCTCATATTTTTCAAATTTTTACACTGTGCCCTAAACTCATTGGGCTGGACAGTATAAATCGACACGAGCGCGACAGGGATTTGAGATGTTTGGGCTAGCGGACACAAGGGTATTGGCGCAAAGCTCAAAATTCAATTTCGAGCCCGATATTTATCCCAATGCACGGGTATTGGACTAAATTTTGGTGTTTTTTTTTTTTTAAATTTTTACTCGTTTAGTCATATTTCTTTCTCATTTGATTTTTATAGTCCTTGATATAATTTCTTTATCATTATTCCTTTTGTCTTAAAAATGATTTTCAGTTTTAGTTTACGAGATTTTCTTAAATATTTTTAATTTAAATTATTTGATTATAAGTATAAATTTTATAAATAATATTTATATATTTAAAATTATATCAAGAGTTTTACAAAATTAAATGTAACATGACTAGAGATAAAATTCCGACACAAGTTTAGAGTGTCGAGAATGAGTGATAGGCGCTCATTTGAATTTTGATGAGTTACAATGTTAATACGGAGTATTATAAATATAAAATACCCAAAAATACTATAGAATACTAATATACAATGTTAAATATCATTGTGCAGCAATCTTATTTTGAGGTTAAAAATATATAATTTTTATTTCAATATTTTCTCTATATATTTTACATTTAACATAGAATACCAATATACATATGAAATATTAATAAAGATTTTCCTATGTAGCACTATAATGTAACTAAAATTAGATATCTAGCATTGCTATGACATTTTTGACATCAATAAGAGTATCCAGCTTGACACTGACTTTAATACGCTCATTCTATTCTTTTTTCTTAATTCATAAGTTTATATTGATTATAGTTATGACATTACCTTACCTTGCCCGCCACACTGTCTCTTCCTACTGCCACCATTACCTCATTTCTCCGCCACATTGCCTCCCTTGCCACCACACTCCCACCATCACCACTACACTGTCATCCTTCGCGCTACACTACACAGCCTTCACATTGTCTCTCTGTGTTGTCACATTGCATCCTCCCGTCGCCACATTGTCATCATTGTCGCCACCACCAATGCCAGCCCTGCTACATTGGTACAGTGCCACCATCACCATGTCTGCAGCTATCACACTACTATGAACAACATCAGCGTCCCCATTGCACTATAATCCTTTGCCATTACACTGTCTCCCCCACCACCACACTGCCTCCCCGCCATCACACTATCACTATCACCGCCATCACCACCACCACCACCCCACCACACTTCCACATCAATGTCACAGAGAGTTTGGGCAATACGACTATGTAAAGAATGCATAAAGTATAACTGCTACTTTCATGGAGAAAGAATAATTCAACTCCTAAAACTAAGAAGTCAAAAAACTACTAAAAGGGCATAATTAGAATGCCTTCACGATAGAATTTCTATTCAAGTCAAAAAACTAGGAGAGTGTGTTATTTATGTAATATTGGTGGTTTTATACTGATATTTAGGAGATTTCTTCAATATACAACATCAAATTATAATTGAACATTATTCTTATTTTTGTGTTAAAAATGTAAGTCTTATTTTGTTATTCTCTCTATAACGTATCTTTAACAAATTGAGTAGTAGATTTTCTTCTTTATTTTTTCTTAATTCCCCAAATAAAAACTAAAAAAAAAGTGTGTGTGAAATAAGAGGACTTGAGGGTCATCCTATGCTTGTTCTCCAAGACGCCGTTCAGTTTTATTTATTTACAGATACCCAAAAGGAGATCTGACATAGTAGGAAGAGGACGACAATGGAGTGTGTATTCGGAATGGTCGGAAACGGATTCGCGCTGGTGGTCGCCGACACCTCCGCCGTGCACAGCATCCTCGTCCACAAATCCAACGAGGACAAAATCATGATCCTCGACTCCCACAAGCTCATGGGCGCTAGCGGAGAACCCGGGGATAGGTTTCCATGCTTTTTATCATAATCGATCGTTCCTGTGCTGTCTCTTTTGTGCGATTCATTTTTTTTCTTGATTTTGTTTTTTTCTTGTTTTCAGAGTTCAATTTACTGAATATATCCACAAGAACGTGTCACTGTATCAATTCCGGAACGGAATTCCTCTGACGACCTCCGCCGCCGCTAACTTCACCCGTGGGGAGCTTGCCACCGCCTTGAGAAAGGTCAGATCTTTGCTGAAATCTAGGGTTTCTACATTTGTTGTGTTGTTTATTGATCTTTTTTATTTATCTATTGTTATCTGGGTTTGGAAATTCTAAATTAGGGTTATGTTCATCATGAATTTATGATGGTTTGGGCTCAAATTCTTCCCTAGTTGCAATTGCGGCTGAATCCTGTTTAGGATCAAATGACCATTGGCTATTGATGACTTGGCTAAACCAAAGTTTTGCTACTTTTGTTGTACTAAAACCATTGTACTTTAACTAAATATTCTTTTTTTCATGAATTGTCGGTCGTTTAGCGATCCAATATAATATGACACATTAAAAAACATTTTTTGGCTTTGAGGTACGATGTAATAAAGCAAATTGACTCTCTAAACTGTGTGTGCTTCTTTCAATTGTGAAGTAGCAATTGGTCAATGGAACTTTCGACTCTCATCATGGATCATTTGGAAATAGCCGCTCTATGTTTTAAACATAGGGGTTAGACTGCGTACATCCGACCCCCTTACCCCGCAATGGGTGGGAGCCATTGAGGCACTGGGGTAATGTTGTTGTTTATTAAAAAGCATTTTTCCATTTCATATTTGTGCTCATTTTTTCTTGTTGCCTTTAATATGTAGAAATCGATTGGGGTGTGTTTAACGGTTTGGGAAACATAACTATCATTGTACAAAAAATATTTTCTGCCAAATGGCTATTTTTAAAAATTATTAAGTATGTGCTGTGTAAAACATAATCTTATGGATGGAGGGCAATATGTTTTTCACGGAATCCATGGAGATACAAGATGGATTTTATGCCATACATCTACCTTATTCGGCTGTGCTTAAGGTGGATTGTATTTGAATGCCATGCTATGGGCATTGCAGTTATAATCACACAGCTCACGGCTTTCTCAGTTCGTTTTAATATGTTAATCTAGGGTTTCTACATTTGCTATGTTGTTTATTGATCTTTTTATGTGTTTATATTTGGAATTCTAAAATAGGGTTAGGTTCGTTATGACAGCTTACTTGTTCATATTTAATTTTCTCCTGAAAATGCTAGCTGATCAAAGGAATACTAGCATTTCCCCTTGACATTGATTATTACTTTGTCCCCAAATAATTTTCCTGCTTACCATTTTTACGGTCTCAAAATCATATTTTCTTTAGTAGACAACATAAATTTAACCTTATAGCATATTAGAAGTCTTTTTTTATCCAATAAATAATCATTTCCAACCCAATTCTTAACCTACTCTTAGACTGAAAGCCTGCAATCTGGAAGTTCTCAAATAACAGACAATCATAGATAGAAAATCAAATACTGCCTCCACGCATGCACACACACCAAGGCACCACCAGTTCACGTCCACAGATTGTAGCAAGTTGAAATCTTGCAAGTTAGTACTAAATGCGGTGTCCTTTTGTGTCAAAGCTAGCAGTGGCAGGCTCTAGGTGTTAATTTTATATGGACTGTATCAAAAGCAAATATATCCTACATCGTGAAGTTTTTCTAATCGTAATCATTATATTTATACATTTTTCTGCAATATTCAAGTATAAAAAATTTAAAAAAAAATTAAGTAAAGTAGTTTCTTCAAATTGTGCACGTCTTTGAGTCAAATAATTTGTTCATGTATAGAATTAGAATATAATGTTTCATTGATTTCTCTCACTATAAATGCCAAGATTATCATCAAGAAATGGCTTCTAGATTTCATTTCTAGGCTTTGGTGTAAAAATTCATTGAAATGTTGCTTAAATGGCCGTGGTAGAAGTGTCAAGACTCAACAAACGTTTTAAACTTGGAGCAGAGTAGTTTTGTCTGCAATGGATTACGTGGAAACAAAAGCTGTACATTATTAAGAATATTCTATTGTTAGCTTGTGGAGCATGGTGTAATATCTGATTACTGTTAAATTTTTCTTGTTCACACTGTTAAATAGTTTTAAAATACAAATCTCTCCATTTCCACCAGAGCTTAAAGAGTCATTATTGACAATATTAGTTTCAGACACATAATGAACTTTATCAAAATGGAAGATTAAACTTCCATTGCCTCTTATGTTGTGTGAAGTTTTGGGTAGTAAGTGCAGCAATACATCGGTAAGACTACTTACATTTTGCCCCCTTGACCCCAATGGATTTGCGATTATATTGGGTTATATTTATCAAGTACAAAATGATTATTTGAATGATAATGTTTCTGTTGCAAAAGCCATTTTTTCTTAAACCACACCATAAAACAACTCTAATAGATCTTTACTTATGGCATCCCATTTTTTGCTTGCTATGTCAAAGTTAAAGCATTATTAGAGTTGTTGTGTGGCGCAGCTTAGGAATAGATGACCTTTTCAACTTCGACGATATCATTCAATAAAACATTTTGTATTTAAAATATACTTTATCCATATTCTTAAATAATTGCAACATTCAAGTTTATCATATGTGCTAAAATGCAAATCAAACTATAATTTCTCCCAAATTATAGGCTGTACTTTTATTATCATCTATGTAGCCATTTTATGGCATCTTTTCTCTGTAACTGTATTGGAATCATCAATGTATAGCCCTATACAGTTATACTGCCGTGGAGTTGTCCATCAATGTTACCACCTATATTTTTATCCTTTCAGTTTTGAAATAACAGTCAAACTGACCCATAGTGAGCAATTGTCTTTGATTTCCCTCCCCCCTTATGAGTTGTGACATAATTTCAAATATATATTTTCTTTTAAACTGTGTTTTGTGGGGAGGACCCCATTTGTAGCTAATTCAGTTACTTACATTTTGCCTTGACACTAACCGCTTAGAGTGTCATTTTCTAAATTTTGAATTTTGTTTCAGAATCCATACTTTGTGAATATCATCCTGGCTGGGTACGATAAGGAGACGGGTCCTTCACTTTACTACATCGACTACATTGCTACCATGCACAAAGTTGACAAGGCCGCGTTTGGTTATGGATCCTATTTCTCACTTGCGATGATGGATAGACACTACAGGAAAGACATGACGGTGGAGGAAGCCATTGATTTGGCCGACAAGTGCATAGTCGAGATTCGGTCTCGGTTGGTTATGGCCCCGCCAAACTTTGTGATAAAAATTGTTGACCAGAATGGAGCTAGGGAGTACGCATGGCGCGAAACCGTCAAAGATTCCGTGGAGCCCACATCCGAGGCCGCCTAGTTGAGTTGTGCCGAATCTCTGTTTTATAACAGTCTCAACAATGTTGTTAGATTTTAAGATGAAGTCGTGGAGTGTTGAACTGCTTTCGATATATACTTGAAATATTGTCTTTGATTCAGTGATGTTTTATAATTTGTCTTGTAGAACTGCGCAATGATGGAAGCTTTTGAATTTTGTTCTTTGTTCACATCTTTCTCTAATTATCTATATCATGTTGCATCAAATTCAACCTATTATCCCATTTATGCAACTTTGGGGATCTTCCCTGGCAAAAGAATTGTCAAACTATTGCCAGAATTACAGGTAATTCCATCTAACTATTGTTGCAAATGTGGTGGCAAGATCAAAAAGTTGATTTATAAAAGATTGTGCATCAAGTAATATTTTCAGAGGAAGATGCTATGGAAATATTGGTCTATTTAGACATCTAACGATATGCAACAAACACGAGCAAAGTGATGCTATTATTCGGGACTAAATTCTCAGTAAACTATACGAATATATAGACGAGCGAAATTGTGATTGCTAGGCAGAGAGTATAGCTGTAGATTCTTACTGCATCAGATGCACTTCGTGTCATGGCGGGAGATTCAGCATCAACAGCAGGTGGAATAGGCGGTGGTGTTGTTATGGCGGAAGGTTTCGCCTTACCAGCAGGTGGAACAGATGAGTCATCTTCAGGTCTCTGTGGAGGAGGATTACTAGGAGGTGGTGGTGATGGTGTAGGTGGTGGTGGTGGTGCCATATTATCCCGGCCTGCGAAAAATGGACAGGTAGAAGAAAGTTGTTCAAAAATTGCTTGGTATAACATATTAGAGAGATAAAAGGCTATATATATGCTGTATCTATTTGCTGCTCATTGCATCCAGATTCAGTGTGTTTTTTTTTTACCAGGAATTTGTGGGGTTGAACTCCCTGGACCTGTTGCAAGAGCACATCACATAGTTAGCCAACAATTGGCCACTTTAAATCTCAGTTTTGATATTTGAAAAGGACTGAGGAGAAATAGGCACCTGTTATGCTCTTCAATGGAGGCAAGCTAGTTGTGTTTCCTGAGTTGCAGCATGAAAAGTGATAAAATGATCAGAGCCTATTACAAGTGTTTCAAATACAATAGATATTCTCCTCCAAAACTATGGTTCTTTCCTTTTAAAGTAAACAGAAAAAACAAATTCACATTGGCCCAATACTGTTAGGTGATTCAAGCAATTCTACAGATTAACAGAAATCAAACACGAACAGCTTGAATATGTCCGATTCACCCTCTCAAGTTAGACAATTCATATCAATGAAATTCTACAAAGCTCGGATTATCAGATTTCATCTAAAAAATGCAGAAACTCGCAATAGATTCTAAGTATAATTCAATTTCTTAAATCGGTAATGAGCATCGGGAAACAGATTTACCAAAATCCACATACTAGTGAAAATGAATATGTATCATAGAAATTTATAAGCTCGATTGATCGAATCTCATTCGGTATTTACATGACTGTGATTCTACGAACCTGAACAGAGATGCTTGAGGGAGAATTTCGCACGGCCTTCTTCCTTTCTAATCCGACAAACAGAAGGGAGAGAGTACACTCTGGTGGAGTTCACCGGGAATCCGAGGATCTGAGGCTTTTTTGTGAGGTAGCAGAGGCAGACTGCTCCACCGGATCTGATCGAAGAAGCGATTTCATCGCAGCACTGCGGCCTAGGTGAGTCGGTGCCGTTGTTCGGAAAAGAGGAAATGTACGGCAGACACGGCGAGAACAGGACCAATTGATCGGAGCAGCTTTCCGGCGGAGTCGGAGACGGCGGAATCGAAGTTGTGAGCACTAGAGAAGAGAAGAAGACGGCGAACACGCTGATATCCATGGCGGACTAGGCGGAGAGCTACGGTGACGGAGGGGTGGAGGGAAGATGGATGAAGGTTCGATTTTATAAGAGCACAGCGCGGGAAAATGGAGGACCGAGCTACCCGAAATGCCCTTGCGTTTGTATCTAATTACGAAATTGACATAGTTTCTTCAGTTCCTCATCTTTCTCCTTGGCAGTTCCAATTTGATGCAAAAATATGAAATCTTATCAATACTTCAAGATGTTATTCTTATAAAATATGCAACTTTATTAAAAAATGATCACTTAATCATTAATATACAACAAATAAGTTACTAAATCAAGTTCAATAAGGTATTTAATATCGTAATCATTTAGTTTTTCAAGTTTATAGATGAACCCTTAAACGCTCGAAAATACCGTAGTATATACATATTACTAGTTATATCTATATGTTGAATCACTCTTTTCAGGTCATATACAAGCTTCAAATGACCAAAGAAAATATGGAGAAAAATGGCAACATCAAGACAATATTGCCCTCCAACAAGATGAAAATCCACAAAACCTTTTTGTTCATGACATCCTTTGGAAGCAAAAGCTGCAATGCTTATTACTCCGTAATACAAACGCAGATTTTGGATTTTTTATTACTATTAAGAACCAAAGAGCTTATTTAAAAAGTGGTGACAAAATATAAAAGCAAGTTGTTCTAAGAGCAAATTGCTCTAAGAACTTCCAATAGAAGCATTATGAAGAGGAAGAAGTCATGGGTGGCCCGGAGGGTGTGCAAAGTGGCCAACCGCACAGGGCCCCTTAAAATTTAGGGCATCATATTTTTAAATTTGTTAATAATTTTAAAGCAAAAAGTATTCTAAAAATATAAAATAGGGCACAAAATGTAAATTTGGGACCGGGCCAATTTTATTTTTTCATTTTTCGGGGCCGGCCCTGGAAGAAGCCTCATTTGGAGGTTGCTATTTGTGATCCCTTATCAATTTATCATTACTAAGGTAAAGTTACATTTTTCAATAAAGTGCAATGTTTTTATCATACTCCCTCTATTTTTGTCTTCCGTTTTTATATCATCAGGGACCAAATTGAAAAGTAGAATTTTTCTATTTTATTTTAAAAAGTATGTCAAATCAAAATAGGAAGAAAAATGTAGGATGAAGATTTTTCTTTTGAACCCTGATGTATGGCGAAGATAGTACTGAAATTGTTGTTCTATTTGTCCAATTCTTTATGTTTATAAGTTTCCACAAACTATTGATGATGGTCAAGATAGAGGACGGTCTACGATATATGAGATCTTATTCATCTGATTCAATATGAGAATTCTGAGTTCAATTCAATATAAGTGTAACTAAATTTAGGATATTCATATCCTGTATTTCTAGTCAAATATGTTAATTTATAAAACTATTAGTGCATCTATATTTTTATGCATTCTTACCCGACAAATATATTGTTTAGTTATACGAGCAATTTGTTAGAAAACATAATTATATAGTTTGATTTTTCATCAAAAAAGATTATAAATTGAAGTGTACTCCGGGATAGTACAATACTATAAAAACATAAGTTTAAATATATTAAAGTCGCACAAAATAAATATGGCTCAAACTTACTAAAAAATAACAAATACCAATGTATAATTAATTTAAGATTTCAGTGATAACGATTCAATTCGATATTTTATTTATATTTTTTAGAAACTCGTCTCGTATCATTTTGAAAACAATTAGATTTAATTCGGAATATAATTACTAGAACCATTTGTGAATTGTGAACCCGCTTTTTGGTATGGTTCAATATTGGTCTGATTCGAAACAATGATTGACGGTATTTTTGTCCACCCCTAACTTTCGTAAAAAATAAAATATAAATATTGTGATCCGTATGCATCATTCTATATTAGATTTATTATATAAAATATTTTCAAAATATAATTTTATTTAATTAATATACAATATTGTTGGAACAATGTGCACACATATATCAGGCCCATTCGACAAGACCATAACATTTCAGATATCCAACCCCGTGGATCAAGTAAGAGTGCGAACAGCCACATGGATATGTGACCAAGTCCGGCTAGAGTACCATGTCCTGACTAGAGCGGTTTGCCCTGAGCCCGAGTGGAATATCCTAACCTGAGTGGCTCCTAGGCCAGAGTGGTAAGCTCCGAGCCCGAGTGGTATATCCCGACCAAAGTGACTCCTTGGCCAGAGTCCCATGCCGCACCATAGTGGTATATCCCGAGCCCGAGAAGCATACCTACCACAACAATGGCCCATTACGGTAAGCAAAACCCTAATGGCCCTAGTATAAATGAAAGGAATGATGTATTATACCTCTAGAAATGGCTCGTGGTTTTTTCCCAGATTTGGATTCCACGTAAAAATCATCATTATTATTATCTTCATATTTGTCCATAATTATCCCTAAGCCCACATACAAATCAATGATAATTTGGGCCTAGAGACGGTATTGATCTTTAGAAACCCAAAGTAATTAACTCCAACAAATATATATTTTATTAATTTATAAGTCAAAAATTGAATATAATTAATTGAAAAAAAATCAAAACTGAACAAATACTCTGAAACAGAAATAATAATATAACGAAAGCTCATAATAAAATAAATCTAATTAAAATATTTATATATAAATATACTTTACACTTGTTATTAAATTAAGAATATAAATTCTTCGAGTTTGAATCGAAAAAATCAAATTGAACATTAGAGTAGAGAGAGAGCGAGAGAGGTAGTATAATGCATAATGTCACATAAAAAATGTAACAGGAGGATCAGTAGAAACGAGGCTAAACATGAAAGCGTCTCTGGGCTTCCCCTTGAGAAGATAGTACTTCCTCAAAACCCCTTCCCTTGTGAACCCGGCCTTCTCCAACACCCTCTGAGATCCCCGGTTCTCGACGTCCACCACCGCCTGCAGCCTCTCCAGCTCCGGCCACTCCACGAACACCGACGCCGCCGCCATCTTCACCGCCTTCGTCCCGATCCCCTTCCCCCAGTACTTCGACGCCAGAGCATACCCGATCTCGGCCCTGCACCTGTCGTCCCCGCGAAACGGCTGGACCGAGATGGAGCCGGCGATCTTCCCGTCCACGCAGATCCCCCGGTACCAGGGATGCCGGAGCACGTCGTGGAGGATGTATTCCTCCACCGATTCCTTGGATCTGTAGGCGTCCCAGGAGCAGAACTGGCTCGCCTTCTCGTCCGATAAGCACTCCAAGTATTCCTCCGCGTCCGAGAGATCCATGAGCCTCAAAGTGACGCCGTGTTCTTTGTATTCGCTGCTGAATCCCTCGCCGCCGTCGGAGGATGTCGGCGGCGGTTGCTCTTCCCGGAGATCGCTTCCTGACATTCTCTGGCCTTGTATCTAGGGCTCCGATCGTTTCTCAATCCCTATTGATTTGGTACTTTGTTTGGACTTCGGATGCTTATTTATATAAATGGTGGTACCAAAGAAATGTACCAATATTTTAACAATTCACACTGACAGAAAACACTTATTCAATTAAAAAAATCACACTGACATTTTATCAATAAAACTATTTTTGTATTAATATCTAAATTCATTTTTATTTAATTTGAGGTCAAAACTTATTAAGTTATGCTAAAAAATTAAAAGTAAACAAATATTTAAGGATGGAAGGTACTTCATCCGTCCCCCTATATTTGTCCATTTTCATTTTTACACACCATCCAATGCACTTCTTTAATTCATTTATCTTGTAATTTGTATATTAAAAAATTATAAAAATTATATATTAATAATATATATGTTAGGACAAATCAAACAAGATCACACATGACTATATTTAAGCTTATACATTGAGAGAATTTGATGAGTCAAAGTGCTTAGATGAACAGTTCCAAAAAGTCAAATGTGAATAAATACAGGGGACGGGAGGAGTACTTAAATTGTTTTAGGAGCTGGATTTTAGTGTTTGATTCTCCCACTCGCAGAAGCCTCATTTGACGATTGACTAGGGACGACCCAATTTGGAAAAGGGAGGATAAGGAGACTGGAATTTAATTTTTAAAAATCGTATATCAAAATTCCCAAATTACATATTGGTCTTATTTGAAAATTGGTGAATAGATGTGGTTGTTAGTATTTATTAATTTGAATATAATAACTTCTTAGGGTCAAAAGTATGCATAACTTTCATTTTTTTACTGCATCCTCTTTTTTTTCACATTAGTGACACATTATATTCCTCTTATTTCATATTTTTATTACTACATGTCAATCCGCCAACTTACTGCAACTAATTTTTAAATATTTGACTTAAACTAATAGTATAAATGAACTTTAAAATAATTAACTTTTGCAAGGATTATAAATTAAATTTAAAATATCTTTATCAAAATTTAACGCATTTTGATACTATGATTTAATAATAGAGAGTTGATGAGAGAGTAAGGTTGAAAAAAATGGGTGTGATTTAAATGATAATGGGTTTAAAACAAGGTTCAAAAAAATGGATGTGATTTAACTAATTAAATAGATTTAAAACTTGTATTTATTAGTTGGGAAAGGTAATATTACTCATAGATGGAAAGCAACCTCGTCCAGTATGAGTGACAAAACATTAGACTATTTAACCGATTGAATTTGGTACCAAAAGGTGAGAGGTAGTGTTACTCTCTTTGCCAAATTGGTATATAAGTTTATTTCGGTACCAAATTGGTAGTGGCAAATTACTAGCTAGCACAGAAAAGTCAAACATGTAAAACTTAATAGTTAAGTAATTATGGGCATATAAATACATACTCTATGTGCATGAATATTAATCTCCAATACATACTTTTAAAAATAAGTTTAAATATATATAATATCAAAGGCCTTGTCTGATTAGGAAAAAAAGGTAAAAGTATATAATAAACGCCGAAGCTTGACCAAGTTGACGGAACCCTTATTTATTAAAACTTCTTGTTCTTCATATCGAGGTGAGTACCGCCGCCCATATAACAATCGATACTTAATATAATACGTAGATTTATACAATGATTTCATGATATATTCTGTTTAATTTCCACTAGAATTCGAAAAAAATAGCGTTAATTATTTTGAACATGCTTTACGTCCAAAACTTTCTAGAATTAGCCCAATAAGCTAAGGTTTTTAATAAGTTGTTATATAAAAAAAAGGAGATGTTTTTAATAAGTTTTATTTTTAAAAAAATAATAGTTTTGAAATACTCTATGTTTATTATTAAATTGTGTACTAATTATGTATATAAAAATATAATATGAGTTGAATTTGAAATATGAATTCAAATGGGACACAAATCGATACAAATTATATTTCTCAAAATTAATAAACGATTTCTGATATGTAAACTACGGTTCGCAAGGTTTTACATGGTTAACCAGTACCCCTCCATTGCCGTACGTACGAGCTCGTCATAATGGACTAGTTGTGTACGTTAAGTACTCGGAGTCCTGGTTACACAATGGACTTGTCTTGTACATTAAGTACTTGAAGTCCTAGTTAAACAAGAATAAAGCAGAGTAAAGAAAAAGTTCAAATATGTGGATATTGCACCTTTTTGGAATACTAAAACAGAAATGATTTGATATTATCAAAGTAAAGAGTTTTGAGAAAAGTATATATTTATGCTATTATATTTTGTACCTATTGTTAAAATTGGTATCACTCAGCTTTTGCTGATCGGGTTGGCTCTAATTTTTTAGGTACACAAACAGAATAGTGACCAAACCGGGGGACAATGCTAAGGCGATGGAAGGATGGACGAGATGACATAAAGAAAGATAATAACAATAAAGATGTTATTTTGAAATATATATTTTGTACGAATATGTTAAGCTTCCGCATGTATAACAGTTACTCCGATATTATCAATAAATAAATAAGTTTTGTTTAATGCTCCATCTACCGTTTCAAAAAGTTAGACCTGTTAACACCGCAAGTCGGATATTTGAATAAATTCGGGTATCCAGATCGTGGCGTTACAGAAATTTTACGATTACACTAATATTTTTTATCAATGTAAGCCACCAAAATTTAGGTGTACACCAATATGGTAAATTTTAGACACAATCTTTTGGATACACCTAGCATGGTTGATTTAATTTAAATTGGATATGGGAGTTATTGGCGGCGTGTGTAATCACATTGACATTAATTAAATAGCCCACTGAGGACACTTTTGTCTTTTCTCCTTCTCAAACGCATCTCCTAATAGTACTCCTATTTTAGGACAGGAAAAATTAAGACATTTTATATTTGTTCAGACACAAATGTTATGTTGTGTTTGCCTTTAGTGTACAGATGGTATACAATTTTGGGAACCCTAACATTTCCCTTTTGGAAAATTACCACGTCTAACTCATACTATAATTTTTTCTTAAAGTAAATCAACTTTAAAAATAAAAAGTCTTGAGGCATAGGAAGGTATACCCCTAGTATTGATCGGGTGTATGAATAAGATTGAATAAGGAATAAGTAATGAGAATGACAATGATGTATAAATCGGGTACAATATCAGTGGGCCTGTTTGGGAATAGCGTTAGAGATTAGCGTTAGCGTTTTGGATAAAATTCTAACGGTGCAGATTATTTTGAAAACGTTAACGCTAAACGCTGCCCGTAGATAGCCTTTTCAAAACGCTAACACTAGTCGCTAAAGCTATTCCCAAACAGGCCCAGTATATCCCTAGCATTACTCAAAGACAAAATTATGTATATAAAATACAGTGGGAAGAGTGTTGAGGTACAGGTGTAGCCCGAGTATTGATCTTTAAAAATGCAATACACAATTGATAAAAATAGTTGGTGAGTTATACTCTAGCAACCTACACGGTGAGAATTCGAATCATGGGGGCGAGTCTTAATATTCGTCCGAGATTAGTTGTGACAAGAATCTTGTCATCTCTAATTAATTTCCTTGACCAATTTTAGGGTAGTGGTGTAGGGACTCTCGGGGTGGGCTTCCACCTAAACGATGGGTACAATTTGAAGGCATAAATATTTAAAGAATTAAGTTATACTCCGTATGTATCTCAAAAGTTATACCTGACTTTATATTCCAAAAACATGCATCAACATTTTGTACTAGTGTGATTGTTAGTGTAATTTTTTTTATTAAATTAGCATTCTGTGTCAGTATAGATAGTCAAAATGCTAGTAAATTTCTTTTGGGTAGAAATTGGACTAATGTACTCGTAATATGTTACTCTCTCTGTCCCAAAATATTTATAACATTTGCTTTTTCAGCAATCGCGAGAACTTTTGTTTATTTCTACGTTTTCATTGGTTATTTGATAAAATAAAATATTCTTGACACCTCTTATTTCAAAGAACTTTTCATGTGGTTTTTTGATATGTAAATTTTATTTTTTATTTCTATACCAATATGTTAATAAAATAAATTAAAAAACTTAATATTTTATTTCGGAAATACAAATGTGACAAATATTTAAGGACGTAAGGAGGACTTGTTACTCCGTAATATATTGAAAACAAAACTATATAGGGATTATCAAAACGCAGTTTGCTAACTTAAATGTAAAATAATGGCGAAATTAATGCCCACCCCATTCGCAATCTTACCTTCTCCATTCCCAACTTTATCTCTGCTTTCCATTTCTCCATTTATTTCCCGATTTCGCCAGAAGCGGCAGTCTGCCTTCACTGCCTGCTCTCGCTGTCCCACGCGCCGTCAGCCGCCTTTCACGGACATGTCTGTTACCATTCCAGTCGCCGGTTCCCTCCGCCGGGAGATTGGTGCCGAACCGTTGCTGGATTCTCGAAATCGTAAGCGTAATTTAGTGCGCATTGAAATTTCAAGCGTTAATGGTAGTTATATACATTAAAAAAACTGTATATTCACTCAGGTATAAGATAATTTTAGGACCGTTTGGATGTAATTAATTTCACATCACTAGATCTTCATTAGATAAAGTAGAAGCTGAGAGGATTGGTGAAGAAATGTTTGCTAGCGCAACTCGTCAAAAACTTAGAGATCATGGAATAATAGATTGGAACAGTACAAATAATGGATTAATCAATGGAGCTTAATTTAGTCGATTTGAGGGTAGGGTAATGTTTCAGAGTTCCAGACTTGTGTGCATTATGAAGTATTTGTTGTTAAATTCATAATTTTAAATAGAGAGCTTGGGGCTTAATAATAGGCCGGATTAAGGGGGAATAAGAATGGAATGCAAAATTATGCAGAGCCTTAAATTTTAATGGCTAAAGAGCAATGCCATCACTCCATCAGTTTTAAATTTGTTCTAGATTTTGTTTTGCGCAAAGTAACTTTCTTTATGTTTTGTCCTATCTTTTCTTGCGAACTGTATTTTTGTACTTCATATAGGTCTTTAAGATGATTATTTAGTGTTGAAGATTGGTGGGTGCATCAAAATGATGAATGGTGATAGTCCACTGTAGATGTGTTTTTAAAAAATCAACTATGTTAGAGTGTTAGAGTCTTATTAGTCCCTACCCTACTTGCCTTAAGAAAATAAACTATTCTTAAGAAAATAAACTTTTTAAAAGAGATATAATTTAGGCCACATTTTTTTCCCTAAGTAGACAAGGGTGAAGTGGTAGAAGTTATTTCGAGACAGACGGAAAAGGAAAATGTAAAGTTGATTGTGAAACTGAGGGAGTGTTACGTAAATGTCAAAAGTTGAAGTTTATTCTTTTCACTCTAACCTAGGCTCACATTGGAATGTCACTTGCTATTTGATGCACGATTGCATATGTATGTTTTTTTAACTTATTTGTCTCCAAGAGTCCAAGGACCTATTGATTATTACTTCTGACTCTTACAAAAGAAGAAAGACGTAAACTACTCCGTATTTATTTATCTGATGAACGAGAACATGTGGAAATTTTAGTTTAATTTTTTTTTACTCTAGCTCTCAGTTTATTTTTTTATCCTAGCTCATTGAATTATCTGCTTGGTCTCCTTATTCAATGTATCCACTCTCTGCGATAAAGGTGCAGGGAAGGGTGATGTGTTGACATCAGATTTGGACCAAGATACAAGCACATCAAGTAAAGGCGGCCTTCACAAGAGCAAATACTCTATGACTTCCATCAGCTGCTTTGGAGTTGACCTTACACCAGATAACATTGCAGTGGCTATGGTCTATTTTGTTCAGGGTGTCTTAGGACTTTCCAGGCTCGCTGTCAGTTTTTACTTGAAAGATGACCTGCATCTAGACCCTGCGGAGGTATCTTGTCTAAATAATCATAGACCATTATCATAATTACAAAAATCTTTCCCTGAGTCCGTGATTAAGCTTACATTTTGTTAGACTAAAATATTGTATACATTTATGTGGAGTTAAGTTCTTTATATAATATCAAAAAATCATTCAATGTTGCATTGTCCTTTGATAGAAGGTATTGTAGATTTGTAGTATTAATAATCGTTGAAGGTTATATATTAGGTTATAAACATACGATAAAATGGATGAAATTATTTACTCCGTATTTAATCATTCAAACACTCATACATTTATGTTATCTTCAGAAAATGCCTTTAGGAATTTCTGACCAATAAAATAAAATGAATAATAGTGTCAAATCTGAAAAATAAATGAATATAACCTAATTTAGCTTGCATAAATTGAGGAATAAAGGTTATCACACATCCTTGCAGACAGTCTGAAGTCATAGGTTGCGGTAATCTTAGATTAAAGAGGTTATTTTATAACTTGAACCAACCAAGGTTATCTAACATATCCATAGAGCTGGCAAATCGGTCGGTCAGGTCGGGTTCGGGTTCGGTCACTTCAAATTCGGGTTATTTCAGGTTCGGGTCAATTCGGGTTCGGGTTGAGAACTCTACGTTCATGACCTAGTGTCATCGGGTTCGGGTCGACCCAACGGGTTATGACTTTGGTTTTTTAAATTCATATTAATAAATTTAAAATATCAAAAAAGTATTAAATCTATAAAATTATTTTATTTTAAACTCTAAGGTAGTTTTTAGATATATAAATCAATATAAGGAATTTAAAAATGCTTATGTTTTAGAAAAAAAGTAAGATAATTATGCAATATCATTAAAATTTTGTCTGAAAATATAAATTTATACACTAAAAACGAGTAAAAAAGTGTATAATTTTAAAAAATTCTTACTTTAGCGGGTCGGTCAGGTCGGGTTCGGGTTCGGTCGGGTTTGACCCATTTTTAGCGGGTCATTTCGGGTTCGGTCATCAAAACCTTTGTTCAAAATCCAGTGTTTTCAGGTCGGGTTTCGGGTCAAAAACAGGTCAGGTCACTTTTTGCCAGGTCTACATATCCAAAACCACATTACCTAGGCAATATCAATTATCAAATACCCCGATACAAGCATTCAATAAGATGGAGTAGATAGTTAAAAGAATGGGAGGACTGTATTTATTCAAATGGGTCTTGTTTCTCTCTTTCAAAATGTGTAGTTGGAATTGATTTGAAAGAGAGAAACAATACCCATTAAGATGTACACAACGTTACCCGGTTGTTTCTATTAGACTCATGATGCATTTATTCCCCAAAACTTCTTTAAAGTAAGAAGCAATGGAATTCTAATGTGCCATTTTGATTTTGTCCATTGCTACCTTTGTCTCACATTAAAAGTCTATTTTGACCAGACACACAGTTTAAGAAAGTGTTGAACTGTGAAAAATGTGTAGTTGGAATCGATCTGAAAGAGAAAAACAACAATAACCAAGTGTTTTCATTTAACAAAAAAGAAAATGAACTTTTATTTTGGGATGTATAAGAAAGTAAAGTCTAATGTTTTTTTGGGACGGAAGGAGTATTTCTTAAGCGCCTTTATAATTTACATGGTCACATGTACAAAATGCAAAAGCAGGGGTGTCAATGTAAATTTAGTGGTAATGTGTATGATTGGGGTTTTTGGAACTATTGTTCCATGTGATATACTACCTTCGTCCTTAAATATTTGTCCAGTTTTGACTTATTGCAGTCAACCATGGGCAACGTTTGACCTATAATTAAATAAGCACTAATGGAGTAATTGCCCTTGTGTTTTAAATAAAAGGCACCATTGCCCTCTATGCCCAAGAAGTATTATACACGCGAATGAAAAATGAGTAAAAGACAACTCTACTCTTGTCTTCTTCACTAAAGAACCTGATAGTTGATAGTTTTCTGTTTAGTCCCCATTTCTCTTCTCGAAACCACCTTATCTGCAGAAGTAATGATATCTCGCTCCATTTGAAAAAAGAGTGTTATAGCAAGATAACCTTGCTATAAGGATTTGCAGAAATGGCGGATGAGACTTAATGAAGAAGAAAGATCAGAAGATATTTTGGGAGGAGAGAGAAGGGAGAGAAGATATTTTGAGAAGAAGATTGTGTTATTCATGTTTATCAATGAGAGTATACAGCAGTATTTATACACCAGCTTACGGCTACAACCTCTAACAACTTCTAACAGTATTACAACTGATTCAACTAACTACTAGCCACGTCAGTTAAGCCAGCTGTAGCATTGCTCCCTTCCCCAAAAAGACTTGTCCTCAAGTCCGAAACTCAGGGTATGTAGCCAGAAATTCCTCTGCAGGTTCCCAAGTAGCCTCTAGGTTGCTATAGCCTTCCCACTGAACCAAATATTGAACCTGGGCTTTGTTTTGTACCTTTTGTATCCTCCTATCAAGTATAGCTGCTGGTTTAGGATGACTCCCAGCATCCTGACCTTGGAACCATGCTGGAATATGGACTGCTGTAGGTAAGTTGCCCCTAAATTGCTTAAGTTGAGAGACATGAAACACATCATGTATGCACGATTGAGCTGGCAACTTAAGCTTGTAAGCCACCTGACCAATAGTTGCAGCAATTTGAAATGGCCCAAAGTACTTAGGGGAGAGTTTGTTATTGCTTCTATGTTGAACAGATTGCTGTCTGTAAGGTTGCAACCGAAGCCAAACCCAATCTCCAATTTGAAAGCTTCTCTCAGATCTGTGTTTGTCAGCCTGGATCTTCATCCTATTTTGTGCGCTCACCAAATGAGCTTTTAGTTGGTCAATCATCTGTTGCCTCTTTTGCAAACTTCTGTCTACTGCCTCTATCTTGGATTCCCCGGGAAGATAGGGTAAATACCAAGGAGGAGGTTGACCATAGACAATTTCATAAGGAGTAGACTTAGTAGCAGTGTGGTAGTGGGTGTTGTACCACCATTCAGCCAATGGTAACCACATACACCAATCTCTTGGTTGATTCCCACACATACACCTTAGGTACATCTCCAAACATTTGTTCACTACCTCTGTCTGCCCATCTGTTTGGAGATGGTAAGCTGAAGATAACAAGAGATCAGTTCCTTGGAGCGAAAATAAGCCTTGCCAAAATTGGCTTAAGAATACAGCATCTCTGTCACTTACAATACTCCTCGGCCACCCATGCAACCTAAACACCTGATCCAGATAAGCTTGGGCCACTTCTAAAGCTGTAAAAGGATGTTTGAGTGGAATGAAATGAGCATACTTGCTGAGTCTATCAACCACCACCAAAATCACCTCTTTTCCCATGGATTTAGGTAAGCCTGTAATAAAGTCCATGGAAATATCCAACCAAATTCCTTCAGGGATAGGTAAAGGCTGTAATAACCCTGGACTGGCAACATTCTCATGTTTAGAAGCTTGGCACGTTAAGCAGTTCCTCACATAGTGACTCACTGTCTTAGACATGCCTTTCCAGTAGAATAAGGCCTTTACCCTTTTTAGTGTGCCATCCCTTCCAGAATGTCCCCCTTCAGGACTATCATGATGCCACTTGATGATGTTAGTTTTCAACTGCTCATCAGGACCTATCACCAATCTTCCTTTTCTTCTTAGATAGTCACCCTGATATGTAAAGTTCTTGATAGGATGAGACTGCTTGAGGGCTTGGATGATGTGCACCAGATTCACATCTAATTGATAACTTTCTTGAATTGATTTTCCCAGATCTGAGGACACCACAGAAATTGCCAAGGCCATCAACTCTGAACCATGTACCCTGGATAAGGCATCAGCGGCCACATTTTCCTTTCCACTTTTGTATACAATTTCGTAGTCAAACCCCAACAATTTTGATAACCAAAATTGCTGGAAAGGTGTGGACACCTTCTGTTGTAGGAGCCACTTCAAGCTCTTCTGATCAGTCCTTATGATGAAATGGCTGCCTAACAAGTATTGCTCCCATTTTTGTACAGCAAGGACAATAGCCAGCAACTCCTTTTCATATACTGATAACTTTTGCCACTTTGGTCCCAAGGCCTTGCTGATGAATGCTATGGGATGTTGTTTCTGCATAAGAATAGCCCCAATCCCTTGTTTGGAGGCATCTGTTTCAATCTCAAAGGGTAGGGTAAAGTTAGGGACTGCTAGCACCGGGGCTGTAGACAGTGCCAATTTGAGAGAATCAAAGGCCATTTGTGCAGAATCAGACCATAGGAATGCTCCTTTCTTTAAAAGGTCAGTTAGTGGTTTGCTGATCATAGCATAGCCCTTTATGAACTTTCTAGAATCTGCTCTCCATCGTCTTCAATTGAGCCTCCATGTCTATGAGATTACAATCTCAATCTCAATCGTAGGCCGTCGACGTGAACCGAGCAGGGAAACAGCTCTGATACCAATGTTATAGCAAGATAACCTTGCTATAAGGATTTGCAGAAATGGCGGATGAGACTTAATGAAGAAGAAAGATCAGAAGATATTTTGGGAGGAGAGAGAAGGGAGAGAAGATATTTTGAGAAGAAGATTGTGTTATTCATGTTTATCAATGAGAGTATACAGCAGTATTTATACACCAGCTTACGGCTACAACCTCTAACAACTTCTAACAGTATTACAACTGATTCAACTAACTACTAGCCATGTCAGTTAAGCCAGCTGTAGCAAAGAGACAACCCGCTCTTTGATGAAGAACATGGTAGGGTCATCCTTTACTTGATTTAATAGAATGTTTACTCTTTTTTTCGTGTATGACACTTCTTGGACATGGGAACCAATTGTGCCACTTATTTCAAACATAGGGGCCAAATGACCGATAGTGTTCATTTAGTTTATACAGGACAAATGGTGCCAATTTGGTGTAGCACGAGCATTATTGCCAAAACCACTGTTTATATGTGGTGAATGGAGTTCCTAAATTTTTGTTTATGTCAAAATGAGCAATGAATTGATGAACTTTGATGAATGTAGTCAACATATAAATATCTTATCTGAATCCAAGGACTGACAAAATCTTATATTGCGAACTAGACAGCAGTTATATCTGGATTTTCATCATTACCGTGGCTTGTAAAACCTTTATATGGGTTTATCAGGTGCCGATTAAATTCGATGCTTTTTTTCTCTAGAACGCTGCTTACACAAGTGCATAAGATCTCATGAAAAAGTCTTTGCCTTGTAGTGATTATTTCCCTCTTTTTGGATACCGGAGAAGATCTTATCTGGTTCTATCAGGGCTTCTTGGAGCACTCTCCTGGAGTCTGATGTCCACCTTTGTTGACAGCAAGTATGGCGCTGCTTTCTGCATTCTTCTTGGATCTCTTTCAGTTGCTTTCTCCGATGTTGTAAGTACCTTTTGTAACTTATTCACATGCGTACATGCCTGCTTATTCTTTATGTTATCAGTGCTAAGAACAAACTATTCAATGCATATTACCCACTATTTTTTTTGGTTGATTAAAAATGTGTTAGACTGCCCCTCCCGCCCTCCCCAAACTCCCAAAGAAAAATAGCCATGTATCAAATGTTTTATTGGGGTGCTATTTGATCAAACTAATCTAATTTTTCACGTGTTTTTGCAAAAAAAAAAAAAAAAGAGTTGCAAGCAGGTTAAATAGTTAAACTACTTTTGGTACAAATTTAGTTAAAATAAACATGTCTCAATATTTGATTATTTACTTAATCTAAAAAAAATTAAAATATATTCCCTACTTCAGATGTAAGATTTCATTACTTTAATGGTTTGTACCTTGCCAAAATTAAAATTTTGTACCTTGACCAAACAAACCTCTCACTCTCTCTTTTTTTCAAACAGAGGGAACACATCTTCTGTCTTGAGTCAGACAATAATGGTCAAGGCTAACACATGAAAATCCATTTAAGCTATATTTCTGGCTTATTTGAATTGAGATATACCTCTTTTTTTGTTTATATGTCTTGTTCTTCTGATTGTGTCGTTTTTTTTCATTTCAGCTATGATATTAAATTGAGGCATGATGTAGGTTGTTGATTCAATGGTTGTAGAGAGGGCACGAGGTGAGTCTCAAAGCATGTCTGGATCTCTCCAGTCATTATGTTGGGGTTCTTCGGCCTTTGGGGGAATTGTCAGTGCATACTTTAGTGGTTCCCTGGTGGATGCCTATGGTGTGAGGTGTGTTAGTGTGTGTCAAATGAAACTCTTCTGTTGATTTATTCCCATTCTGAGCCCCTTACATTACTTGCAGGTTTGTTTTCGGTGTGACAGCATTGTTGCCATTAATAACTTCTGCAGTATCCGTTCTTGTGAAAGAGCAGCCTGTGCGTGGCCTACCCAGGGGTCAGAATCTTTCTTTAGACGTTAGCTTCTTCGAGAGCTCAAAGAAGAACATTATTCAATTGTGGGGAGCTGTTAAAGAGCCCAATGTTTTTCTACCAACCATATTTATATTTCTATGGCAGGCAACTCCGCAGTCTGATTCTGCCATGTTTTATTTCACGTACGTGCTTTGTAGGCTTAACTTGGTTTAACCATTTTGTGGCATGTTTTGAGAAACCGTAAAAATCATTTTGTCTGATTCTTATAGAACAAATAAACTCGGTTTCACTCCAGAGTTCTTGGGCCGTGTCAAACTTGTCACTTCAATTGCGTCCCTTCTTGGTGTTGGGCTGTATAATGGTTTCTTAAAGAATGTTCCACTGAGAAAGATATTCCTTGCGACAACTGTTATCGGCACAACCCTTGGGATGACCCAGGTTTGTCACCAATACAAATTTGTTTGTTTCTACCAGTATTAGGCCTTGTATGGGAACAACATTTTCGATCTGAATAATTTTTTATGGTGTAGATTGATTTTGAAAACGCTAAGCTAAACGCTGATATTAGCTAACCTTTCCAAAATGCTAAAGCTAAATGCCGAAGTAGTTGCCAAACAAGCACTTTTCTCCAATATTTTGCTGTGTTGTCAGGTATTTTTGAAGTTGAATGAAACTTGTGTCTCACAGGTGCTCCTTGTAACTGGATTGAACCGGCAACTAGGCATTAGTGATGAGTGGTTTGCAATTGGCGATTCATTGATTATTACAGTTCTCGGCCAGGTAATCACATATTAATGTGTATATATTTTCTTCTCTCGTACTATATTATACTTCGTATGTTTTTATGCGATGTTAACTTGGGTCTATATCACACCCAAAGGAATTCTCAAGAAGTGATGTTATCTCACACTTGCCCTAAAAAGTTCAAACTATACCGAACAACTTTAGGGGTTGACAAATTGGCCTAAAACGACTCCCAACTCACAAATGTCCCAGAAATTAGCTTCAGAGCATGTTCTAATACCATGAAAAAGTGGGCATCACCACCCTCAAAGGGTGAGATAAAACTCAAACTTATACACCAGACTTGAAACTCAATAGACAACTGATATGGTATATACCCAAACAAATTATTTTCTGCAACTGTAGTCCGGACTAGTCCCTTGGTTATTAACTTTGGTGGTAACTAGAGGCTTTGCTTTCCAGGCTTCTTTCATGCCAGTACTTGTACTAGCTGCAAGAATATGTCCTCAAGGAATGGAAGCGACCCTATTCGCAACCCTAATGTCGATATGTAACGGGGGTGGGGTCCTCGGGGGCCTGATTGGCGCGGGTCTAACCCAGATCTTCGGCGTGACCAGGGACAAATTCGACAATTTGGCAGCTCTGATTATTCTTTGCAATCTTAGCTCCTTGTTGCCTTTACCACTGCTCGGTCTCCTGCCCAAAGACGACGAGGAGAAGAAGAACACAGACATTGAGATGAAGTCTAATTGAAACTCTCAGGGTCCGTTTGGTATACGGAATTGACAGAATTAGAATTGAATTAGAATTGAAATTCCACGGGATTCAATTCCATAGAATTGAATTCTGCCAATTCCAATTTATTTTTTGCACTATCAGTTCCAAATCCACATAATTTTTGTGCTACCAAACACCAGAATTGGAATTGAAGTGCTCAATTCCAATTCCATAGTTTGAATTTCGTATACCAAACGGGGCCTCAGTTTGTTTAGCTTTTATGCTCTGTTAGACAACCGAAGGAGATGATCAGATGTAAATATTGGAGAAAGATACATGCTAATATTGCTGTGTAACTTCATTTTTCTCTTAATCTTTAATTCAAATGATGAAATATAATTACTTCACTTTTCTTTGTTTTTTCCCCTTATTATTTTACCAAGCAGTTCAGGTGATGATTTAATGACTGGTAAAACAATATTTACTTTCTGTTTGTATTAGATGTTAGAGATTTATCGATAGAAAATCAAACTAAAAGCTTTTAAGAGATGACTCTTAAGTGTGGAGTGGTAATCAAATGGGTTATTCAAACTTGCAGGAATTTTTTTATGCAAGTTTAGAACTTGTTCTTTTCAACTTATTCTTATTGGAATCAGTTTAGATCAGATCAGAAATAATTTTAAATATAACTGCATTCAGTTCATATTAGATCAAGACTTATTCTAATCATATCAGAATCATTCAAATTAGATGAAGAGAATAGACCTTTAATAGTTCATCATTTTGTCAATGAAATTTATATGTTTTTTTTGTTTATTAAAAAAAATCTTCTCATTTTCTCTCTCTCTTTTTTTGATCGAAATAAATATGGGACAAAGTTTTTTGTTCTCTTTTAGAGGAAATTCGAACTCCATTTCAATAGTGGAAATGGTGAAGTCAAAACTACAAATCTTGTGTGGATAATGGCTGAAAGGTACACACATAACTTGCTTTCACGGACGTGGGGAACGGGTTGATGCTCACATGGTGGGCCATTTTGATTAATAAAAGCACTACAATCCAAAAGAATATGTTGGTCATATGCTCACATTGTACATGTAATAACCCCATTCGGCCTCAAGCATGAAAAAAAATTGTGTTTCTAATGTTTATTAACTTATTATCGATAAATAGTTTTTAATTTATAAGTTGTTTATAGGTTAAATATTTTTTTATGAAAATAAAATGAATAGGTAAGCTCAACTTAGTTTTGTAAATGATCTAATCAAAACGTAGTTTCAAAAAAATGGTTTAAAAAAAATAGGTAAGCTCTAGTTATTTTTCTGGCTTATAAACTACTTATAAGTCAGCTAATAAATACAAAAAAAACATGTCATGAGTTAATTTATAAATTAAAAAAATATATATGAACAATTTTAACTAGATTATAAGCATAGGAAAACAACATTTAAGATTATACTCTAATTCACTCGACTCACTATTCTATCATGCTAGAAGGTGGGGACATTGGGGGTATAATATTCCACCTTTTTTTAACCTCATTGGGTTACAATTGAGCAATTCAATTATTAACCATGCTAGGAGTATATCAAGAAATGTATCCCAAAAAGATACACCAATATTTTAACGCTTCACGCTGTACAAAATATTACTTCAATCAAAAAAATTTGTTCTGACATTTTCTGTAAGTATAAACCATCATACTAGCACAAAATGTCGGTGCATGCTTTCGAGGTATAATATATGATACAATTTTTGGGGTACACATAGCTTAATTCTTTAATTATACTCATTAAGTGGTTTGAGTATCATACTTGGCAAGGGATCTTTTGATACCATTTATTAATTTTATATTGAACCATGTTAGGGGTATATCAAAATGGGATACCCCATTTGTACACCAGACAAACACAAACACTTAGTGTCTGTGATCGGTAAATGCTTCTAATAATAATACTTTTATCTATAAAATACCAAAAACCTTGTAATTGAGCAAAATGAATTTGACTTTTCCAATCAAACTTTAATGTCAAATTAGACAACAAGAACAAGATCTACCCATAATCTCCTATTGACCAGCTAATCTCAATTGTCACAAACCAAACTCTCCCACATATATATTCCAACTTGGAAATTTATTATATGATGGAAACATCAGTTTGCATTGGAGGTTGGAACATGGTCCTTTGTTGTGACTATATGTAGGGTTTAGTACGTTTTAATTTAAACTTCATTTAATATTAATTAATTATCTTTTTTCTGTGGATAAATAGAATATAATAAAATAGCATCATAGTGACGTATTTCTTTTGTCATGCATTTTGATTTTTTCCCCATCATATCACTTCTCTTATTCAGATTTTTCAAAATAAACATTAACAAGGTTGTCTTGGGTAAACACCTTAACTATATACTTTGGTTTTTTAAATCAAATTTTACAAAATTCGCCTCGTTTTTTATATATAAATTATGTTTGTGTATAGACATAATAATCTAAGCTAAGATATATGTATGACCATATATTTCAGAGCTATTATCAATAAATTGGGAGAGCTCTTCTTGCATTGGGTGGTCCTTTTTGATAGGCATAAAACATAAACAAATAAAGAAAAAAAATTGAGATCCTTCAATTTATGGCCAAATAAGTGCCGACATGCTCTAACTCTATCACATGGGAAGCTAATAAGAAGAAGTTGGAAGTTGGAAGGGAAAAGTTTTTGAAAAAAAAATCAGTGTATATTTCTAAAAAAATCGCCCTAAAAAGGAGTACGTATAACATAGAGAAAATAATAAAATAGGAGTTTTACGTTTTTTTTCTAAATAATTGTTTGCATTGTTGTAATGTGGTACTGTACAATGTATATGAACATTTTATTATAATTTTTGGTAATGTACATGGTCATGATTGGTAATGTAAATGCATTTTAACTCCTCTTTCGAGAATAAAAACATGTAACTGCTATTTTGGTATGTTGTCATTACTTCTGCTTTAGTCTTTTTCTTATATTCCTATCCAATACTCTCTTCTTTCTAAAATTAATTTTTCATTTGATTTTCACAGTCTCCAATGCAATACTTTGACTACTAGTATATTTAATTTGTTTATATATAAACATAGAGTATATATCGTAAAAATGAATTATTTTAAAAGTATTTTTCAAAATGAATCTATTGGTATTAAATTTATAAGAAAATTTAATGTTTTTTAAATATGCGGTCAAAGTTTAAAAAATTTGACTAATGAGTAATTATTATCTACTGATATAATTTGATAATAATTAATCTTATTGAGTAATGAAAGATACATCCCTGTATTTAAGAATTACAAGAGATGATTCTAATCATAGTATGAGAAGATTTATATGGTAACAATACAATCAGAAAAAAATAGAATAAGGTAAAAACTAATACTCCCTCCGTCCTAAAATATTATTCCCAGTTACTATTCACTCGGTCAAACTTTAATCGCTTTCTTTACCTATTTTTGTTAGTTATTTGATAAAATAATATTGTTTTGTCACCTCTTATTTTGTAGAACTTTTGATGTAGTTTTTCAATATATAAATTTTAGTTTTTATTTTTACACCTACAATCAAATAAAATAAATTAAAAATAAAATCGATCAAATTAAAACACTAAAACATAATAACGTTTTAGAACAGAGAGAGTAATATTTTATTGAGAAATTTACGTAAATAACACTAAAACATAATGACTTTCCCTAAATAGCATTACATGTGTTTTTTTCCCAATGTAGCACTTTTAGTCATTATCCATTAGTCATTATTCAAGTAAATGTTAGTCGTCACTGGTCATTATGGATATCATTAAGTGATATTTAGAGAATAAAACAATTTAAGTGCTATTTAGAGAAATGACTTAAATTTTAGTGCTATTTAGTGCAAATATTTCTATTTTATTTCCTATTATTTATAGTATTCCTAACATCTACTATATATATTAGTGTAAATTCACCCGTTCTAATGAATGATTAATTCGACCTAAGTCTTATACATTGCCATACTAATAAATTAATACATTTATAGGTGTAATAAGAAAAAGAAGTTAATACATGTAGATATATATTGATCAAGTCCTTCTATACAAGCTCTTAATTAATCATGCTAATCAATTACTCATAATTAAGTTCATTTGTAATTTATATCTAAAAATTTTGTCCATAAAATATCACCTTTTTAGTTACTCCATATTTATTTTTAGAATAATAATACTCCATATGTAACTCACATTATTTTTATATTTTAAATAAATTTTACGAAATAATCACACAAATTTTATTTTCTTATACTGTCTTTCAAGTGAAATTGGAAGGGAATGCACAACAATAGCTGGGTTAATTGGGGTGGAATTAAAAAAATGTGCACGTGACTGTACATATAGTAATGTGAAAGCCAAAGGAAATTAATTACATAAGTATCGAATAAAATCTTAAACAATTTTTTTCTCTTTTATTAATTAAATTGTGCATTAAAAAAAGGATAATAAAGAGTACAAACAAGAACCTATATCATTATTATTGAATCTATGAAAGAATAATGAACAATGGATCTAGACAAAAGAACTATGTCTTTTAACAGTTTAAAATATTAAATGAATTTAAATAAATATCTAATGGATGTCTAACAAAAAAATATTAAAAGAAGAAAATAATAAAGGCTTAGGTGAATGGTTGACCGAAAATATTATATTCCTAGAATACTTTTGCAGTGATAGCATATATAGTTGGAGCATTGAAACTCTTTAACTATAAATTACTCCGTAGGAAAAAGTATATATATCAAATTATTATATAAATTTAATATAATTGGGTTCATCTAAAGGTATAGTTTTGATAAATCAAAATGTTATAATATTTTTTTATTTAGATTAATTATACTTAATTTGTGGTCAAAGAGAGTGGCTGTTTGACCAAAAAAAGTCAAACTGAAAGAGTTTTCAGGAACGACGAATAATTGGATCAGGACTTTTCCCCCGACTTGAATGGTTGAAAGTCCACTCCCCATGATTCATGAGGAAGTTCACCCAGGTTTGAGCCCCAGTAGATGCTAAGCATTGACTCTTTGTGCGCCATTAGACTGGAAATAGTATGAAGAAATATCACATTGTAATAGAATCGATAGCACTAAAAAAGCCATTGAATTAGACCTATCAATATAAATTTAACCGGTTTTGTCGCAAATTGGTGGTCCAATACAATGGTAATTCATACTCAGTTATTTACGGAGTAATACACTAAGAACCCGTTTGGTGAGTTTTAAAGATGTGATAAAATATGATAAGAAATGAATTTTGAAATATAAAAGAAAAGATACATGTTTTAAAATCTGAATGAAAAACGTTGGGAGAAAATAGATATGAAATTATTCACAGTTACAATAATGTTCACAAGAT